TTTGAGTGGACATATATTTCTCTTTCTCTTTAGGTATATGCCTCGCAGTGGAATTGCTGAGTTTTGTGGTACATTTATGTTTAATTGTTTTAAAAACTGCTAAGTCTATTTCCCAAAGTGTTGCACCATTTTCCATTTCACAGCCATGGATTTTATCGACTGTGAGGTCCTGATGCAAATCTTAGGGCCACCCATACAAGCAGACAGAGCCCAATTTAGGGTCCTGGAACCAGCCTAGGTGTAAAATGAAACCCTCTGGGGACGGTGGGTGGGGGGGCTAAATGAAGCTCAGCCTCTCTCCAGCTTCTGATGTCTGAGAAACAGGTGGGCAAGAAATCAGCTGTTCTACTTTCTAATCCAGAAAAACATTGCCCTCTGGGACCTGGAGCACTTGTTAGGGGAAAATCAGCAACGTGGCGATAATGCCAAAAGGAAAAACAGAAACACACTATGGAGACGTCAAGGGCGATCTCACCAAAGGAAGAAAACCAGCTTGAGAAGGCAGCAGTAAAGGCAGTTGGTCTGCAGCTCCCAGGCTCCGGAAGCCTTTAGCTCCCACTGCCAGCATCCTCAGAGCCCTTTCCGGCTCCCTCGGAGGCCAGCGCGAGGATAATGGGGTGATGGCAAGGGGGAGCCCCAGGACTCAGCTGCCTGTGGCTCTGAACAGACAGCGCTGGTCCAGCCAGGGAAGGCCTGCTCCAGAGCTGCACTGCCGGAAGAAGGAAGGAAGAGACGCTGCTGCCCCCCTGCCAGCCAGGATAGTCTGAGTGTCACCAGCTCTCCAGTTTGTGCCTCATGTTTTCTAAGGAGTCATTTCACTATTTAATCAAGAGACCCAGCTTTTGATGGAGAGAATTTGACATATCTGGCAGCAGCTGCAAAGAACAGAACTTTATAATGATGGCACGTGGTGGGTGTCTACACACACTACTGCCTGCCCAGCTTCCTCCTGACACGTCCCCTCACACAGGAGTGAAACCGACATGGCACTGCTGAAACACACAGAGTGCACAGGAATGGCAGAGGGGCCATGCCTTGCAGAACAGAATGGGCCTCTGCTTGCTACTGAATGCCACGTGCTCAGGCTGGGTGGTAACTGTACTGAGTCGAATTGTGTCTCTTCAAATTCATGTCTACAAGGACCCTGTGAAGGTGCTCCTATTTGGAAACAGGGCGTTTGCAGGTATAACTAAGGTAAAATGAGGTCATATTAGATTACAGTGGGCTGTAATCCAATGACTGGCATTCTTTCCTATAAGAGGGAAATCTGGATACAGACACAGAGAAGACACCGTGTGGAGACACAGACGAGAGAAGCCCATATGAAGACAAAGGCAGAGGCTGGGGTGATACAACTATAAACCAAGGGACCCCAAGGGTTGCCAGGAACCGCCAGAAGCCAAGACAAAGCAAAGTAGGATCCTTCCCTAGAGATTTCAGAGGGACCATGGCCCTACTGACACCTTGATTTTAGACTTGTGACCCCCAGAACTGTGAGAGAATACATTTCTGTGGTTTAAAGCCACCCAGTTTATGGTGCTTTGCCATGGCAGCTCCAGGAAATGGAACAAAAGCTGAGCCCAGGCTGCAAGCAATAAACTGTCCATGCTGGCAGGTGGCAGAGCGGGAGGGAGAGGCAGAGAGGGCCGCATGGAGGAGGCACCTCCTTTGGTTGTGCCTGAGGTTCGGGCAGAAGGCCCAGAGAACAGAAGTGAAACTAGAGGCTCAGCATGGCTCCTGGTAGAATTGGCTTTAATGGCTCAAGTTTTTTCATCTTTGCTTCTTCCAACGTGCTTGGAACAGGTACTGCACACAGTAGGTGCCCATTACGTGCTTAGTGTTTATGGATGAGCTCTGCATGTGGGAAAATAGACGACGTGATTGGCCAGCTGGGCTGGCGAGAGCTAGCCCAGCTTTATTTAAAAAGCCATTCAGAGGCGGCTGCTATGTGCTGAGTTGGCAGAGAAGCATCAGGCCTCTGAAAGTCATCAGTAAACAGCCGGCTTACCGAGGCCACATGCTGAGCCCATAGTCCCACTCCTGAAGCTGTGGCTTTAACCTAAGCATGACCTGAGACATGAAATTGCTTGGCTTTTCCCAGCAGCCAGAGCCACGGAGCAGAGAAGTGAGAGGCCAGCCACTGAGGAGGGTGGATATCTGTGTACCGCGTGGGACTCTGTGTCGCAGTGCCAGGCCTGGCATGGAAGTCAGTGGTCAGTGCTGGGGCTGGGGGCTTGACTGAGCTATTGACAGGCCTGCTGACCACCTGTCAAGTGGCCTGCCGCCTCCTGTTAGGAGCTAGCTGGTACCGGGCAGGGAAGTCCCTCTGTGAGGATCGAGCATGACCAGTCCACTGAAATTCCTTCAGGCACATAGTGGACTTGATAGTCTCCCTGGCTTCCTCCCAGGACCCAGGGTAAGTCTCTTCACCTGGCACTGTGGGGTGAGGGGATGTCACACAGCCAAACTGGACTGGAACCCTGGACGTTTGTGCCCACAGAACCTGGCTGCTGCTTCACAGGATGCTGTGGGCTGCATGAGAACCCAAGGGCCAGTCCCCACCGCTCCTCCACCGGCCCCTGGGTCAGCTTCCCCAACTGCAAGGCCTTAGGGTGCTGAGCAGGGAATGGTTTGGAGCGATCAGAGTCAGCAGTGAGTGGGACCATGCACAGCTTGATGCCGGGAGTTCGGCTGCTTGAGGAGGCTCTGAGCATTGACCATGTTTGCTCTGGGCAGCTGTGAACCCACATGAAGCCAATAGCAGCAGGCAGGGCCACTATGTAGGGACATGCTGGTAGCTCTGTTGCCCTCTCTCTTTCCCAGGATTGGCTCAGTTGGGCAGCTGGTGAGCTAGAGAAATGGGAATGAGCCTCCACATCAGCCTGACACCAGGTATTAAATCACTGCACCGAGTACGTCAACACAACGCCAAGGTGGCTGCTGGACAGTAAGGTCACAAGGCCCCAGAGAGTGGCAGAGTGGCTGGACTTTGCTATCTGGTCTGTATCTTGTGTGAGAGCTTGAGACTCAGAGGAGTCCGTGGGGCACACGGAGCTGAACTTAGTCCCAGATACATTGTATGGACGCTGTCATGGGACACCAGTACCCAACAGGTAGGTGCTCTCCAGGGGAGCCCATGACACCGGCCTGGCCAGGGCAGGCCTGAGGGCCTTTCCAGAACTGGCCTGAGTTCCCGGCTTCCTAAGGAACAATGCTGGGAGGAAGGCAGCAGTGGGACCCCAGCCATAGACAGTACATCCTGTCCACAGGCTCACAACGGGCTTTGAAATAAACAAGTGTCGCTGTCCCGAATTAAACTTCTATTTTCCTTCCACAGGGAGCTCTCAGCTGCAGCCTCCTGGCCTGAGCAGACCTTCTCAGAATGGCCAAACTGCCTGTCCTCAGGAGCCAGGACGCCAGCTCAACCTTAGGTACAAGATTCCAACGAAAATCTTGTGGGGAATAGAGGCCACATTCTGTCCCTGCAGGAGGCCTCTGGGGTTCCCTGAGAACCTGTTTCTAGTTCTCTAGTGGATTTCAGTTTACAGAACTCTCTACTTCAGCATCCCTGGGTCCCAGGGCTGAAGTTGCATCTCAGAACCTGAGGCCTGAAGGCCAGGGCAGGTTTGACAGAGGGGCAGGGCCATCTGATGCCATCTGAAGGGCCCAGGGCCAGTCCGAGCCTAGACCAGCTCCACTGTGGGAGAATGGGGTGTAGGTCTGGAGACAGAAAGGGGTCGACCCTCTTTCTCTCTACATGGGTCTTGGCTGCACAGTTACTGGCTGGATGACACACACTGGGCCTGGGCCTGGGCCTCTAGCCCTCCTCTGCCTCAGTTGCATAGTGAGGAGTGACCAGAATCCTCTCCTTCCCCTACTCTAAGCAGCAGCCTGGGTGGCTGGGGCAGGGCAGCTTCCCTGGCTGAGTCCATTGTTTTAAAGGACAATCCTCTCCCCCTCTCCCCTCGTTGGTGGTCTGCCGTCAGCCTAGGCACAGAAAAGAACATCACAAACACAGGCTGGAATGGGTCACAGGCACAGGCTTTATCAGGCGACAAGGATCATCGATTGGCCATGAACCACAGTCCTGCGGGAGAAGAACAAGCCACAGCTGGAGCATCAATACCTGGGGATCTTTGTGATGGTGTCCAGAGAGTCCAGACCACTGAGGAGGTGGGGCCCACAGTGGATGAGTACTAATGGGCAGGCCAGGTTCTGCCAGTGACCCCAAGCAGAGCACCAGCCCCTGTGGCCACCCACCCCGTTGTATCCTCTGCTCCTATGTCACTCGACTCAAAGCAGGTGGGAAGCAGGAGGCAGGGAGCCGGCATCAGGGTGCAGAAAGGGCAGGGAGGGGACAAAGCCCAAGGGAGAGCTGGGGCCACCTCTCTGAGGAAGACCTGGCCCCATCCCCTCCCCACTCCTACTGAGACCGTCCTCTGCAGTCAGCAAGGGACACAGGGCCTGGGGCTGAGTGCTGGGAAGGAGGGACGGGTGTGAAGGGGGAAGGTAAATGGGTGGAGCCCGGGCTGGAGCTGTCCCAGAGCCTGCTCAGAGCCCTGGGGAGGGAGCTGACCCTCTGAGTCTGCGTTAAGACAGAAGAGGAAGTCAGCTCTCGACCCCAAAACCACCAGTTTCCTCTCACTCTCGCACTGGTGGAGTGGAAGCTGCTCAGGACAGGGCAGCACAGCTGGAGAGGGACGTGATCAGATGCAGGACACACCAGACAGGTCCTAGCATGGGCCAGGAGCTGGAGACACTCCACACTGATGGCTGCAAACCACCCGCACCATCCGCTGGGGGCTCCCTCAGGGCTGGCTTTGGTGTCTATCAGAAAAGGGTCTGGGGTCCTAGTTCCACCCGCCCAATGCTTCTGCCAGGCAGGACAGGGCCAAGGAACAATAGTGGTTGCATTTCATTTAAAACTACTGTTTCATTAAAAAGCAAAACAAAACAAAAGAAAAAACTAGTTCTGAACATGAAGAATTATAACCAAGAAAGACAGCTTGACATTTTTTGCTTTATTAAACATCATTCACTGAGAATTTCCAAAGCACTGTGTGGTGCCCAGACCTGTGTGCCAGGGCTCTGGGGGTCGGGAGAAGTCTAAGGCACGGGCCCTGCCCTGGCGCACGGCTTCTTCTCCCTGGGAAGGCAGCTCCACTGGTGAAAGGCCACTGACCAAGTCCAGACCCTGAGGATGGCGAAGGCCTCGGGACAGAAGCCTGAGAGCATCACGCCCCGCTGGCAGTGGGAGGCAGTGCAGGCTGGGAGCCCTGCCCAGGCTCCAGGCTGAGCTGTGGGGAATGCTATGACCCAGTTTGTGAGAGCTGCAATGACGAACGTTGGCTCTGTGCCCAGAGGCCCAAGAAGGCCATGGACTGGGCTGCCCTTTCCTGGGAAAGGAGGAGGGAGGAAGAACTGGGGCCTGGCAGGGCCGTTTGCACCCTGGAGAGGCAGGGCTGGGCCTGACTTCTCCCTTTAGAGCTCGTATCAAGAGGAGGCTCAGGAGAGACTTGCATCAGAACACTCCAGACAGCTGATCTCCCCCTCAGCATCCCTCTCCTGGGAGACCCACCCAGACCCTGCAGGCCCCTGGCAGCCACGAGGAGCAGAGACCCTGGAGTAATTTGGCTTGGGGACCCCCCCACCACCAGGCCCAGGACAGTGAGTCACCCAGGCTGCTGCTTAGGGTAGGGGAAGGGGAGGATGCTGATCACTCCTTCTTACTATGCAAACAGAGGCAGAGACGGGCTAGAGGCCCAGTCCCAGTTTGTGTCTGTGCTGGGACTGGCAGAACCCAAGGGCATGAAGCTCCCCTGCCCCACGTGACACCTCGCTGGGGCCCCACATGTCTTGCTTCATCCTTGGGGCTGGGCTCCTGGTTGGCAAGGCACACCCTCCCTCCCCTCCATGTCCACGGGGAGTAAGACAAGTTGGGCTCCGGTTCCTAGGGTGAGAGCCACTCCCACAGCCTGCAGGGTTCTACTTTGGTCCCACAGCCCAGGAGAAAATGGAACCATGCAGTTCTGGGTGCTGTGACTCAGGCTTCCACCCGGCCTCCCTCGGGGGTGCGGAGGTTCTGACCCTGCAGGGCACAGTCCCCTCCCTTCACACAGATGTCCCCACAGACAGGCCTGCTGGGCCAGGGGCCAGCACGGAAGCGTCAGAAGAGGCTGGGTGCTGCCTGGGCCGGCGTATCGTGGTCCCGGATGTACTGCAAGATGTCCATCTCGTCCATGGCTTGGATCTGCTCCTGCGGCTTCTGCTGCCCAGCCACAGCTTCAGCCAGGCCCGCTTTGTGGGGAACAGCTGGTTTTCTGGGTATCGCCGGCTTAGCTGCCACTGGTGGCTTGGGCTTAGGCTGGGGCTTGGGTTTGGGCTTAGCCCCCAGGTTCAGAATCTGGTCCAAGTCCTCTTCAACTCTAGGGAACCACAGGGAGGAACCCTGAGCATAACACTGCTACCCCGTGACAGGAACAAGACCCCAGGCAATGCCACTGCCCTCAGGGGGCTGGGCAGCTGCAGGGAGCCCAGCCTGGGCCAGGTCAAGGCCCCGCCCCGCCCCATTCCGCTCTGGCCCCTCCACCCATCCTGCCCAGAGGAGACACGAAGGCCAGGGCTCTCCTTCCCTCCCACCCACAGCAAAGCAGGCACAGGGCAGGCCCCACGCAGCCTCCTGGGAGCTGGTCTTCAGGTGATCCCACTTGACACATGCTGGCTTCTGTAGGGGGCTTTCCCGCCAATCCCTTCAGAAATAGCCACCAGCTACCATGTACAGAGTTCTCGCTCTGCTGAGCACTTCAGACACGTTATCATATTTCATCCTCAAAACACCACTCTGGGGAGGCACGACTGTGTTTCCATCCTGCAGATGAGGACACTGGAGTCCCAGGAGGCCGAGTGGCCCTGAGGGGATGGTATGTGACAGTGCCTTTGTTGGGAGGAACAGGACATCGGCCCTCAGAAGCTGAGCCCTCATCCAAAACAAGTTCAACCAGAGAAAGAATAACCAGGGGCGCTGAGCCCCGGTGACGCAGGGTTGGCCCGCCCACAGTGGGCCTCTGTGGGCCACATGGGTGCTAGACAGAGCCCAGCGAGAGCTGAGGATGGCCTTGGCCAGGGCCCACCAAGACTCTGTCATGACCCCAGACCTCTGATCTCCCACTGGTGGGTGGGAAAAAAGCCCCAGCAGTGTTACAGTCACTCAGGACCATCCCTGGGTACTGAGGGCAAGAAATAGGCCAGGCCCCTGATTCTCCAGAACTTGATTTCTGGAGATGGATGCACAGTGGAAGACTCGTTCAACCCATTCCATCCACTCAGCCCTGTGCGGAACACCCGTGATGGCCAGACATTCCCACGTTCATCAACCCATTTAATAATCTCCACACGCTGTGTGTGCACAGAGATTAGCCCTGTTCTACAGATGAGAAAACTGAGGTGTAGAGAGGCAAAGGGCCTTGCCCTGAGACCCACAGGTAGTGTGAAGATGAACAGGACTTGGCCTGCCTGTGGCTGGTTCTCTGGGGTGTGTTCCCCTGCCGGGGGCACCTGGACTCCAGTGTCAGGGCGAGGTTTCCCCTTGTGCTAACAGGCATCTCTACATCTATCACTCAGTCATGCTGGAGTCCGGTGAGGGAAGGCACAGGTACTGAAGGCAGCAGACCTGGAGCACCCACTTGGTCTCTACAAGCTTCAGCTTCCTCATCTACAAGCAGGAGTAACAGTGTCACTGACACTGCTGCACAGAACTGCGCACAGAAGCACAGCACTGCGCGTGGAGAACTGGCTTCCGTTCCTCACCCTGCAACTCCTCCATCAAGTGGCCTCAGGCCACTCCTTCTCCCTGGTCCTCAGTCTCTTCTATAAAGTGGGATTGTACTTGCTCTACCACCCTCACAGGGATTCTTACAAGGATCAAATAAGACAACACAAGGAAAGTAGTTTCCAAATGTATAGGAAGGCTGTATGTACTGATGTCTACCGACAGCAGGGACTGAGCAAGTGGGCATAAGACACAGAAAAGCAGTGCCTCTATCTACAATGGGGACACCCTCAGCCCAGTCAGGCAGGGGCCACGCAATTGCAAAGGCCTGGAAAGAAGGTGTTGAAGTCCAGAGAAGGGAGTGAGCCCTTGGGCCAGAGCAGGCTGGGAAGGCCTCCTGGGAAGGTGGCCCTTTTCAGAAGGGTGAGCCTGGCATGAATAGGGGAGAGAGTCTGAAGAAGGGAGCAGAGAGCAGAGGTCTGGAGGTGGGAATGAGAATGAACAGGAAGAACCAGGCAGGCTCATGAGCAGCGGCTTCCTGCCCTGGGGCAAGGCCGGGCAGGGATGGGGACAGAGAGGAGATACCTTTGATCAGGACAACTCCTGGCACTACCAGAGAGCCTGTGTGAGTCTGGAGGTGCCCGGCACAGCACCCCCGGGGTGGATGCCTGCCTGCAGCCGGCTGTGGAAGGAGCTCCGGACACCCTGCCTGCTTCCTGGGTCAACCTCCTGTGATGGGGCACAAACCCCAGAGAGAGAATTCAGAGTCTGTTTGGTCAGCAGAGAAATGAATAAAAGGGGTCCTTCTTGAACAAACCCAGAGGGACTGGCCCAAGCCGGGCCTTCATAGAGAGATCAGTTGTCTTGGGGTAGAGGCGATTTCAGGAGGTACCACTCATGGCCAGGCTGCTCCTGGCCACCTCAGGTCAGACGTGCCGGGGCTCCCTCCAAGTGGCGGCCCTTCCTTGATTCCCCCGGGGCAGGTGCCAGTTCCACTGGCATGATGTGGCCTCCATGGAAGGCTGAGGGGACCTGGGAAAAGCTCAAAGGGACTGAATTATCCTCAAATAGGGGCCCTTTGGAAAACAAAGCCGCCGCTAGAAGCTTATGTCAGATTTCAGGATTATCCTGCTTGGCAAAGCAGTGACTCTTCGGAACTCACCAGCAGCCGGGTTTGCTCCCAGGTGGGAGGTGTACATGGCTGGGCAGCCACGGTGGGAGGCGGCGTAGCTGCTCTTGGGACACAGGTGGCTGCAAGGCACCCCTTTTCCTAGTACCCTATTTCTGAGTCATGACTAGGACTAGCTCTCACTAGCGCAAGGTCCAGCTCCTTTCTCTTCCAGGCCCAGCTGGTGTGAGGTCAACCAGAGAAGGGTAAGGAAGCTCTAAGACCCTGGCCCCATTGCGTCTCCCAGGGTCCCTGCGGAAGACAAGACTCACCTAAACATCTAGACTAGAGGCCCTGCCCTGGTGTGGCTGCACAGCCAGAAGGAACAAAGGCTTCTCAGTCTCAGCACGCTCAGTGTACACCCCACGCTGCCTCGTGGCTGTCACAGCTAAGGCTAGTGACAGAATGAACGAAGGGGTGAAAGCATGAAGGAATGAATGACTATCAGAACGTTCTTTATTATGAGGAAGCCCAACTATTCCCTGGATAGTCACAGGGCAGACACAAAGAATGAATGTGGTTCCTGCTCTCAAGAAGCTAATCCCAGTGTTACAGCTCTTTTTGAATTTGCCTGAATTTTAAAAGAAGAAAAGCAGCTAATCCTTTTATTAGCAGGTGTCTGCTAAAGTGAAGGTGGGGGTGCGGGACCCACATTTTTTGAGCAGGGATTCCCCAGGCGCTCTGTGGGACGCTAAGGGGCACCACAGAGGGAGGGCCCAGGGACGAATGAGAATGTGAAGTGCCGTGTGGTGCTGGCTCGCGCACTACCAGCCCTGCTTCATATGGCATTTCCCCAATTCATCAGGCCACAGAGCCCCTTTGAAGGTAGCCTTTGACCACCACACTGTACCATGTTCCGCAGAACACAGGTTGGGAAGTAACGGATTTAGAATCAACTAGGCCAGAAAGGTCCCACGAGAACCACCCCACTGGGACACGTGGACTCCTAGACACGCTCGGCCTGGCCCTGCCATTCCCCAGGCCGACTCTAGTATTCCATTTCCCTGTGCCTCAGTTTCCCTCTAATAAAATAACAATCCTAGTTTCTCCCAGCCTGCCGGGATGTCAGGAGTGAGGACACAGGATGAGAGTGAACAGATGCCAGGGGCCTTGGGGACATGTAAATACTAGAAGCCGTCACGGTGACTCAGGCTTGGCGGGCACTTGGAGGGCTGTCTAATAGCCCGAGGCTGCTAATGAGGGGCAGAGATGACAGTCTCCAGGGCCTGCATGCCTCGGTGTCACATAAGCCGTTCCTGGAAAGAGGCGGCCTGGCTCCCTGTGAACCCCAGGCACAGTCCTGTGTCCTGGAGCGCGGAGGAGAAGCTGGAGACGTGCACAACACTGAGCCTGCTGAGAACGTGGCCAGTGGAGGTAAAGGCCTGGGGAGAACTGGGGGACTGGGTGGGGAGGCAGATCACCCAGCCGAGTGCTCAGACAGTCCCTAATGAAGTGGAGAGGGCAGGGCAGAGCAGGGGCCATAGCCAGGTGGCCTCCCACACTCGATTTCTTATAACATGGAGAAAATAGCATCTACTTTAGGAGGGCCGTCGTGAGGATTACATAGGAGAGCGCATAAGGAGTCTGGCTTACTGCATACACAGCAAGGACTCAGGAAATAGGAGCCATCTCAGGCACAGGTTCTGCCAGTTGACCTCCATGTGACAGATGAGGCCTCATTCTCCCTTCCTTCTGTAAAAGCTGCTGACCAGGCCCTCTGGCAGAGAGGCCATCGCCAGGACACCTGCACTTTGCCCCCTCTCTGGGTGGGCTGCATTCTGCCATGAGTCAGTTTGAGTTGTTCCCAAACCTGCTTGTGCCAGTTATACCTGCTCTTACAATTATATAATTTAATTATTCTTTACATAAATTGTTAAAATATGATTGTGAAAGAAAGACTGGTTGTGCACACAAAGTTCTCTCTTTCTGGAACTAGCTGAGCAGCCCTGGGCTGCAGATCCTCCCGCTGAACCCCCTTCACTGCCTCTCACCTAGTGTGCACCCACAGGTTTCCACTTTTCACAGGTCTGGGGTCCTCCCCTCAGAGGAGGCTGGGGCTGAGACCAGGCAATGCCCCCAGATAAGCCGGGCCCTTGGCTCTGTCCAGGACATTCTCAGAGCTGGCCAAGTGCCCCTGGGGACAAGCGGTACCTGAACAGTTCCTTGGAGGCATCCCTGTGGCCGAGGCGGGGCGTGGGCCCTCCACTCTCACAGGCTGCCGGCAGCAGGAGGGAGTCACCCAGGGGCACGGCCCCGCCGAGGTCAGGATCGTCAAACAGCTTCAGGGCTGTGGGAAGGCAGCAGCAGGGGTGTCAGAGGAAGCCCTGGCCTGTCCTCAGCTACCCAAGGTACAAGGTGGAGGAGGCCTGGCCCAGCCTCCTGGGGCACCCAGCAAGGGATAAGGCAGAAAATCAGAGAAGTGGACCAGGTAGGGGCAGGAGGAGGATGAGGACAAGAGCTCACAGAGGCCTGGGACAGCTGTCTGCCTTGGCCTCAGCCGCCTGGCACCTGTGCCAGAGTCAGCCGATGGCATCACTCCGGTTTCAGGTCCTCATGGGCTTCCTACTGCTCTTAGGAGGTTATAGCCTCTTGGGCTCACTGCGCCAGGCATCTCGCCATCCAGTCCAGCTGATCTCAGTGCAACCCCTCAACTGCACCTGGCCTTCAACAAGCATTTACTGAGTTCCACCCACCAGCATGGGCCGCTCTCTCTCTGCTGGGATGCCATGGCCGCTCTCTGCTGGAGTGACATGGCCACTCTCTCTCTGCCGGGATGCCATGGCTGCCCTCTCTCTGCCAGGGTGCCATGGCCACTCTCTCTCTGCCAGGGTGCCATGGCCACTCTCTCTCTGCCGGGATGCCATGGCTGCCCTCTCTCTGCCGGGGTGCCATGGCCACTCTCTCTGCTGGGGTGCCATGGCCACTCTCTCTCTGCCGGGGTGCCATGGCCGCTCTGTCTCTGCTGGGGTGCCATGGCATGTGGCTGCTGCCTTCAGGAAGCCTGGGTGTCCCCCGCGCACCCTCTCACGTGTGAACTGATTGGGGCTGCCCTGGGAGAATGCCGATCATGGCCGCTCTACCTGGAGTCCCCTGCTTCCACAAGGCCAGCAAACTCCACTGACCTTTCAGGATCCAGCTCAAGGAGGGTCCCCACCCCACCCCAGGAAGTCTTCCGGGGAGTCCTACAGGAATTGATGCCTCTGCTCAGCCTGTCATAACTGCTGCTGCTCTGTAACTGTCAGGTGATGACCTGCTTCCCCAGGGGCCCCCAAGGCCCTCAGGATAGGGACTAGGGACAGGGACTAGGTCTCATTCCTCAGCATGTCCTTGGGCCTGGCCCGCAGTGGGGGCTCACCAAGTATGGGCTGACTTAGTGGGTGGCATCAACTCCCCTCACTGGAGGATGACCTGGGCATGTGAGGAAAGGGACCCAGGGATGAGTGGAGATGTCCCAAGGCTGCTCGGTTTTCCCTCTGCCAACTCGGCACAGAGCCCTCCAGGGGAGTCCATGCAGGCGACGCATTCCTATTAAATCCAAACCTACAGTCACACACGTGCCCCAGGCAGACCCTATCACTTTCTACACAAACGGTGCCTGGAAGCCCAGGGCCCATATCTGCCCACAGATGTCATGGAAGCGCTTCTCGAAGCAGCAAAGAAAACCACCCTCCTCTTCTGTGGGATGTTCACAGGAAGCACACGGCCCGGGAATGTTCCAGGCTGTGGGGAACCAGCTGTGAGGCTCAATTCCTCCAGCAGGAAAGCTCCTTCCAAAGCGGAGTCTATCTAACATCTAAATAGGACAGGGGAGATGAGTCCTGTTCACGCCGGGTGAGTCTAGACCCTGTCTGGTGACGGAGCTGGGCACCGAGAGGACACCAGGAGCAGACCCTGGGGCTCTACTTACGGTCCATGGATGACACATCCTCCGAGGGGCCCTGTGGGAACTGCTTCCTGCCCGGGCCAAAGAGCCCCTGGTCAGGGTCCACCTCCTCATCAAAGATGGTGAGCCGGGGCGTGGGCTTGGCTTTCATGGCCACTTTGGGATGTTTCTTGGGCTTCTTGGAGCTGGAGAATCACAGACAAAGCACAAGGTGAGGATTTCCCACAAGTGTCCAGGTGGCCCGGTCACACCCACACAAGTGCTGGGCCCTGCAGCAGGGGTGGCTGGATGCCATGGGCCAGAAAAGACCAGGCCAGAGGGACCAGGGAAGGCCTGGAGAGGGCCACCCAGAGCAGTCCAGGCAGGTGGAGCTGAAGTCTTTCTGAAATCTCTAACAGATGGTCACACGGCCAAGGGAAGGACAGGTCCTCCATCCCAGGGGAGAAAAGCAGGCCAGCGAAGGTGGTTGGGGAGCAGGTTTCCTCAATGACAGAGTGGTAAGGCCCCTGCTACTGTGGGCAGCTGTGCCCTGTGTTCAAGAAATGACCACTGTCAGGAGGAGCAGGTGGCTGCCAGGATTGGACACCGGCTGCCAGACAACCCTGGCTCTTAGATGTCTTCAGGCCCTGAGTCTGCCATGCGGTCACAGGCCAGAGATCGTGCTCCCATTCGGAAGGTGGAGATAGCTGCCTGGTCTCAGAGTCTCAGCACTTGGGAGCCAGGCTCAGAGAACCACACTCCACAGCCACTCAGAAATGAGGATGGACCTGCTCTGGAGCCACAAACCTCAGGGCTAGGACTCAGGAGGGCAGAAAGCAGCCTTGGTAAGTGCCTTATTGTTTCCTTTGCATGGTAAAACCACCATTGTTCTAGTTAACACTTGGGTTCTGCGGTGCAGCCCCCTTTCAGGAAGCCTCTCTGGGACTTGCCCACCTCCCCCACTCCGGCTCTGCCACCACAGGTCCCATTACAGTGCACTTGGCTCTGCCAACCCAGGTCCCACTACGGTGCACTTGTCGACTGGCTGAGGAGGTCCTGCTCTGGACCAGACCCTGCTGTGAGAAACCAGGACAGGGCAGGATGGAAGCTTCTGGGGTGTGGGAGTACTTTAGTTTTGATCCAGGTGGTGGTTCCGGGCTAGATAAGTAAACACGCCTGGAGCTGAATGCTCAGGATCTGTGTCCATCACTGTAAGTGATACTGCCAGGAAGGAAACACACCTGATTTTACTTTAATCACTTTAACAGGCATTCAACGCCTGCTGGTGATGCCTGTTAGCCATTTTAAGGTTCCTGAAAATTATGAGAATGTGCCCTTTACTGGAAACTGAAATTCCGTGTGCCTGTCTCTCTGGCAGGCAGTTCCACTGGACTGAGGTCACTATGTGAGGTCACCATCTGAGCTCATGTTGATAACACTCTGCGGCAAAACTGCACCAAGGCTAGCCTACACAATGATACAGATTAACCAACGGCGGATAAAAATAGCAGAATGGCCCTGGGTGCTGGAAGGGGCAGGGCCCTCCAAGGTGACCATTCCCACAGTCTGGAGGCTGAGGTCTAGCAGAATCCCAGTCACCCAGCAGAGGCGAGGAGAAACTATGAAGGCCAGGCACGCTCCCTGCCAAAAGGCTGCAGGACGGAGCAACCTCTGAGCTCAGGGCCCAGTTCCAGGGGAAGGATCTCTGCAGGACTCCTTTGTTGAATGAGGAAACAGTGGTCCAGAGAAGCGGAGTGTCTGCCCAAGGCCACACAGCAGGGATGGGACAGGCAGCCTGGGTCTAGATTGAGGATGCTCATACTTGTGGTCCTATCCTCGTCCGCTCCAAATGTCCCATGAGGAAGGTGATATGGGATGGGGCAGGGACAACAGGATTGATCCTGCCGTTCTCTGGGGAGAAAGTGGCATGTTTCAAGGGTAGTGACGGGGAGCAGAGACACAGTGGCACGGACTGCTCCAGGAAGGCCTATCTGCCTGGTCCTGAGCTTTCTCCACCTAGCTCAGGCCATGAGGCACCTCCTCTGCTGTGCACCACCCTCAGGCCCTGCCTGTGGTGCTGGAGGTGAGGTGGAGGGAGCCTGGATTCTCCACCCTAAGGGCAAGTGCTTTCCAGAAAGTGCTTCTGCTCCTCTGAGACCTGGAGGAGCCAGGACTCGTCTGCTCAGATGTTCTCCCCTTTATTCTCACAAATCAGGCAGAGCCAGCTCGACTTTCATGACTCCTAGGAAGTGGGTACCAGAGAGGGGCCATGGCCTCCTGGGGCAGACAACAAAGCCGACCCCAGTCAAGACCCACTGAGTCGGAAACCCCAAGCAGGCCCAGGAGGCTGTGTTCAGTCTCCTGAGGAATTGCACGGTCAGCCAGGCTTGCAGCTGCTGTTCTGCCCGATGCTTCTCTCCACTTCATTCCCCATATCCGCTGCCCTTTGTGTGGCTCTTACTCCTGGACCCAGCAGGCACTGCAGTGGGGAAGGGTAGAGAGCTGCCCCGGCCCCTACTCAGGTGGCAGCTCTCAAGGAGAGCAAGTCTGAGGCTGCTCTGCAGCCTCCCCCAGCAGCAGCTCCACACCACACCCCCGACTGTCCCCTCAGAAACAAGCAGGCCCTCCCTGGCTCCTGGGGATCACACTTGCATTGTACCCAGCCACGGGCCCCTCGGGGCAGGGGAGCAAGAGGCTTTGCATTGACCAGAAATCAGAGGGCGCACAGAGGAAGAGAGCCATCTGAAGAACAAAGGAAGCGAGAGAGAACAGGCGCAAGGAGGTCTCTCTGGAGAAGCTGTGGTGCCCCTGCCTACGCCTGCACCCTGTCCTGACAGCACACAGTAGGCCTAACTTCCCTTCCATGTGAGTTTTCTTCTCCAACTGGATTAAGTCCTTGTTTCTCTCCCTAGAGACATGTTTGCCCTTTTGTTATCTTAAACTGAAATGAAGTGGATCTACAGCACATGTGGGAGGCTCAGGCATGGTCTGTACTCTACCCCACCCGCCCCGTGCCGCCTGGGCTGCCTTCTTTACCTCCCCAGCTCTCCAGACCCATCTCCAGGGGAATCGAAGAAGCAGGAAATATGGAGTTTTATGCCTAAAAGCCCCAGGGTCCTGTCCTGAGCGGCCCAAAACTTTCAGGCTCTGGGGACTTAGTAATGCACCTGGTCCAGAACAGATGCCTTGATAAACTCTGGATGAGAGGATGGGTGATGGATGGAGGCGGGGAGGGATGGACAGGTGGAGGACAGGTAGGCAGGCAGCAGGCTGCTGGCACATCTCCATCTCAGGATTCTGTTAACCTATTCCCCAAGGTGGGAGGGCCAGGGAGGGAAGAGGGATAGGCTCCCAGCCCCAGTCTCAGACAGCGCCTATGTCGGAAGCCCCTCCTCCAAAGATCTCCTAACCGACTCCACTGGCCTTGCCACCAGGCCCTCAGCCGCTCTATGAGCAACTCATTCCTTCTCTTGGGAGCACCTTTGATGGCCAGCACTCACTGAGAACCTCCCACCTGCAAGAACTGTGCTGGGGACGAGGGAACAAAGATGAGGATGAGCTGCCGCTGTCCCCAGAAGCTCATGGCAGAGCAGGGTCACATAGAAACTTAGCAACAATAGTAAACATAGAGTTTACTATTGCTACCAAAGAGATCATTATGGTTGGACAAGGTGGCTCACACCTGTAATCCCAGTACTTTGGGAGGCTGAGGCGGGTGAATTTAAGAATAAAATATGAAAAGTGCTTTAGTTTAAAGCAAAAAGTTTGCAGGAGGCCAGGAGTTCGAGACCAGCCTGGCAAAGATGATGAAATCCCATCTTTACTAAAAATACAAAAATGAGCCCAGCATGGTGGTGCATGCCTGTAATCCCAACTACTTGGGAGGCTGAGGCATGAGAATCGCTTGAACCCAGGGGATGTGAGTTGCAGTGAGCTCAGATCATGCCACTGCACTCTAGCCTGGGTGACAAAGCAAGACTTTGTCTTGGCGGGGGGGGGGGGGGGGAAACTGTTCATTAGCACACAGGATGTTCCGCTCTGTCACGGCAGAGTATAGAGGACAGAACCAACCAAGCCTGAGGGCTCAGGGAGGACCTGATATGGAGATAGGAAGTGAACTTGGTGGAATGAGAGCTAAATAGCGTCTTGGGTACAGGACCTGCGAGTCACACTGTGAGGGTCTGCAGGGGGCACGACTAGGACATAACTGGGAACCTAGATTTCTCTTGGTGAAAAGGGACCCCTTAGGCTTGCAGCAGACGTAGTGCCGTGAGGGAACAGGCTGAGTCAGGTTTCTCCAGGCAAGCTTTGCTCATGGTCCACAGAAGAAACGACCGGAGCCCGGACTCAGGGAGCAGCGGTGGTGCGAGGGGAAGACAGGCCGGGCAGAACTTCAGAGCTTATAAATCTGGACAGCTAAGGTGATCAGCTGGCGGAAGGGAATTGCCACTGATCTCAGTGAGGGGGTCAGTAATTCCATAGGAGAGGTGTGTCACTCAGCCTCTGAGCCATTTCTTCACCCTTCTCCTAGCACAAACACCTCAGGGTTGTCATGAGCACGGAGTCGGGTCAGGTTGCACACATGTGCTATCACTCGGGGGCCCCCTCAGTCCTCTCCTCCCTGGTCCTCCTCCTCCTCCTCCTCCATTCCTATATCAGCATCCACCCAGCCGTCTGCAGGCACAGGGCCCAGCTCTGCAGTGCCTGCCCTCCAGCCCGCCCTCTGCGCTGACAGGAGACAAAGCCCCTCACTGACGTGGAGGAAGGGTGTCTTCTTCTCCCTTCACTGGAAGGACAGTTGGTTATGATTAGAATCTTGTCACCAGGGATGGGGCAACAGGGGCTATAAAGAGAGGTGTGCAGGGAATAGGACTGGAACTGCAGCTCCTGGCTTCCTGGTGAGCACGGGGGTCATCGGAACTAGCGCAGGCCATGAGGAACACTAAAACATGAGTTGGGCCCACAGAGGTTGCATGAGGTAGGTGCTGGTATGTTCTTGTTGCACACACATGTGTGCACAGACAGACACCCGCTTTCCTGCTGTGTGTTCCTGACAGCAGACAGACACGCAGACCAGGCCACGTTCTGCAGGCAGGCGTGCAGCATACGGGGTGAGAGGCGGCAGCTGCCATGGCTGACAGCTCCAACGCTCAGACAGGCTGAGCAGCAGCCCGGCTCCCTGTGGTTCAGGCAGTTCTGGTGACAG